CCGCACGTTTCCTTGCTTTTTGTGCACCAGCTCAGCATTCGAACGCAGTTCTGAGGTAACGACGAAGGACCGAAGAAGTACATTGCTTCCTGCTTGCCGGGGGCGGCAAAGAAGGCGGCTGTGTTGTCCAGAACTCTTGCCTGAAGACCCGCACGAGAGCTATTTCTTGGGGCTTCTTGGGGCACTTGGCTGGCCCCGCATGCCAGGCAAGAACGGGATGAGCACAAGGCAGAAAGTTCCTGTGACTGTTTTGATTGAACCCACTGCCTGGTGCAATATGGTGCAGTACTGCTAGTAGTGTAGCAGGATTTTTGTATCGCATTCTGCGGTAACTCATCACTACCCCACCGCATGTTTCCCACACGCGTGCAAGAGTTGCATCACATCTATTTCATCACAATTACATCACACCATCGGTCATTATTCACCATGCGCCCCTGGCAGTTGTATCATAATGCATGGTAAATTCGATCTTGCTGCTAGCCTCCGGACTGCAGCCGATAAGAGTACTACTCCGCGTGGCAGAAAAAAGGGCCGGGTAAGCAACAGCAATGAGTCTTGTTGACGACAGAGTGAGGTCAACAAAGGCGGTTCATCACTGTCGCAATGACAACAAAGTCAAACATGTTTCTGTTTCATGTGGCTCCAGTTGCGGACTGATTCAGCAGGTGCTCAGCAATCGGTGGTCAAATTTGACATCACCCGGTAGTAAGGACCCAGCGTGATCCTGCTTGGGCAAAAGCTTCAACTAATGGTACCCTCTAGGTGTATCATGTGACATGTGATGAGTTCAGACCGATTGGGTCACAAAATTGGTGAAGCTGACAGATCTGTTTGCGGGCATCTTCCATTCCTCCGCATCGTGGACTGGGCCTTGACTTGGAGAAGGCTCCTCTTGCGGGCGCACTCGAGTTCAAAGCGCCAGGGTCGGGTTAGACTGGCGAACAAAGCCGAAATTGTTATGACTCACCCTTAGTTGCAACACTTACCTCTAGCTGGTTGACAGATGCATGTACACGTGTAATTATTGTATGTACAAGTACATGTGTTGTACCATAGTTCACCACACATACAGCAGACATGCAGACAACATACTACTTACCAAATATTCGGGATTTGTATGATGGGTACAAGGGTGCATCTTAATAGGGTTCATCATCAGCAAGATGCGTATCAGAAGGACCTGTTGGCACAGAAGTAACGCTTCATCCTTAGCACAAGCGATCCAGCTTTGTACTTGTCACAGGCTGATGCATTGGATGTCGCAGAATACCCCACAGTGGATGACGAAGACGGTGGAGGTAGCATAGCGGAATCGGATCTTGCACACCGATCTATGTGCTCCCTGGCTGCACAAAGAGCCCACCAACCCAATTGCTGTTTGAGAAATGCCTGTGTGGGACATCAGTTTCGAAAGTATGAGGATGCTCAGGTTTAAAAGGGGAGCTGCCACAACGACAGCCCGACAGCCCTCTTATTGATTCTTCTTGTTTTCTTGTTTGCAGCGTGGCGCCGAGAGGCAAATAAATCCTGTACACTTTTTTCCGAAATGCGTAGCGAGGGTTCTCGTTTCACTTTGGGGTTTGGTGGTGGAGGTGCGTTCGATTACCGTTCGCAACCGTCCGCGTGCATGGCTTCTCCTGTAGCGACTCAAAACATGACTTCTGCTGACGTTCTTTGCGGCCATCGCCTTGTAAATCGCGCTTCAGGTGTGTCACGAACTGCCTCACATGTGCGTTTTGCGTGACGGGTGCACTACTTTCGCGATATCCTGCTCCAGCGTATCTCATTGTTGGTGGCAGGCGCAGCTTTTCAGACATGCCCGTTGCCATTGTCTTGACAGGCGCAGTACTTTGGAGGACTGGTCTTGACGTGCTTTCACTATTTCCACTGGAGTGCGTGCTTCAAGAGTCAAAACTGTCAAAAACATTGGGGACGGGCTTCTGTTTCAGCCTTTCTCATTTTGCGTGGCCGGTGCACTTGAGACATGTCGCTCGTCATTTTTCGTGACAGGTGACAGGTGCGGTACTTTGGAGGACTGGTCTTGACGTGTTTTTCCCAACTCTCACTGGAATGTGTGCGTGAAGACTCCAAAAATATAACAAAACCGTGAGAAGATTGCATTTTTGGATTTTCATTTATTTGTATTGGGGATAGCACTTGACGATGCTGGTGGAATCTCTTCTGGTGTCGCTGATGGAACGGCAGAAGTCTTTGCAAGGTCAAGTCAATGCTGGGCGCGGAGCCGTCGAAAGCTGCTGCAGAGGGTTTGGAGGTTTTGAGGGTTTTTAAAGTTTTAAAGCGTGCCCAAAATGTGCCACGTAGCAGTTTCGAAGCCCAATAGAAACAGCTTGTAGGGCCTAGGGAGGTAGAGGTACCCAGCTTGTGAGGCCTAGGGGTCAGCTTGTGGGGCCTACGGAGGTACCATGGCAAAGCAGGCGCGGGGCCATCGAAAGCTGCTGCTAGGGCGGTACCATGGTAAAGCAGGCACGGAGTGGTGCCGTATAGAGGAGCCTGGAAAGGGGTCATGCCGCACACCTACGGTGATCCCGGGCGCCGCCCCGCCTAGGCCAAGGCTAGGCAGGGGTCAACGGATATATAGTGTAAATATAGGGGTAAACCACCTATAAACTGGTGCAGGATTTCTTCCATCCACTGTATCTCCAATGTTGTTGGTTGTTTTCAATTTTTCCCGTGTTTCTCTGTACCTTGATGGCTTTCTCCCCAATGGGCATTACTTACTACTCGTACCGGGGCTTCAAACCAGCAACGACAACGGTATTTGTCACCGCATCAGATAGTTGGAACTTCGAACCCAACATGATTGAATCTATCCAATGTTGTAGATGTACCCTGCTGTAGCATAATTTTGGGGACCGTCAAAGATGGGACCCCGTCCAGAAAGCTTACCATTCATCACCAGCCCCCCAAGCATAATGATAAATAGCTGGTACTGTAGGATCACATGGTTTCCTATAGAACTTGCTTCAAATCCACCTCAATTCTTGGCTTCATTCGTCATGCAAACCCCACAATATCATATTTGGTTTGTTAAACAGTAAAACCCTACTGTCTTAATAGACAAATCAATGTTTTCTGCTGCTGAAATCACCATTTCCAGCTGGTTACCCGCCGTTTCCCCCGGAGGCAGCAGAGGCAATCGGCCTTCCTTACTGGCTGCTGAAATCTTGCGCTGCGCCGATGGTGCACAGGTGTTGCGTGTGGGCGCTGCAACCCAGTTGCCCTTCAGTGAAGCAGTGGCCCGTCTGGGAAATGGCTTTGGTACCTGTCAATCTAGCGGAAACCCATCAAATTCGCTGGTTAATCTAAGGGGACACCGAAATAGGTTCGTTGAGAAATAGAGGACAACCAAATTTGAGGGTTAATTTACAGTAATATAGCTAGGGAAGCCATGGTCCATAGAAATAGATGAACTACCTATTGTGATCTTCTCATCAAAATCGTTATTTTTTGGATCCCCCATTTTCAGACAAGCCAAATGCTTGGACATTTTGTTCTATCTATATAGATGGTTGAAAAATGGTTTGGATACTTAGGGGTGCCCTAAAACCATTGTGGTTTTAGGTGTCACGTACAATCTGTGCTACGCCAATGATGGGTTGGGGTGGGATGGGGTAAAGAATGGTGGGACTTGTGTTCGTAAGGTTTTCTCTTGCACTTGCACACGTAGTTGATGCTGCTACGCTATAAGATTTTCTCTTGCACTTGCACACGTAGTTGATGCTACACTGATGGATGCGAATGCTGCAAAAAAACAGCGAAACAATCCTATCGCTGTAAGCGATTCCGCGTGCGCAGTGATCCACAAAAGTCAAAGTGGACCGAACCTGGATGGGGATGAAACAAAGCATTCCGCATTGCTTGAAGAATCGTCATGGCAAAGTCATCAACCCTCGCTTGTGGGACTATGTCTATACCGTCTATACCAATTTGTGTACAGACACAGAAAGACGCTCAACGAGAGACACCTGCGGTTGAAACGAAGTTTTTTGCACTTTGCATTTTCGACATGGATGATGTCATCCATGCGAACATTGCTAAAACCATCATGGTAGTTCATAGTTACCACGTTTTTGACATCCAGATGCGTGTTACCTTGGTTCAATACCAAAACGGTGTACTTCTGGATGATGGCATGGGGTGGCCCTATTTCAGGAAGCAGCCATGTGCTGGTAAATCCAAGTGAAGCAGAATTTTGGAGGAGCATCCTAGCACGTCACAGCATGTGCTCGAGAAAGTTGGCAAACTGCTTCCCTGCCAGCTTGACCCTAGGATTTGCAATGCTTCCTGAGCCGCTTGAAGGCATGGTTGGTGTTCTGGATGGTGGTTGGTGTTCCCGATGTGGCAGAAAATGGAGACCATTTTTCAATAGGAGTCCATTTACAGATCTATCTGGCTCTTCCAGCTTGTTGGCTTTAAGAGACTTACAGTAACATAAATATGAGTGGTACTAGAATTGAAGCTGGAAGACCAGGATGTTTTTTGTGTTTTTTGGTTGGCTAATTCCTCCATACATACCGTATATAATGCATATATATATATATATATATTTGCATGTATGTATGTATTTTTCTAAACAAGACAATAAACATATATCTATATACAAAAACACAAAATCTCCGTACATGGTTCAGCTATTTGACCTTTCGCCTTCCCCCCCAAGGGCCCCTCTGGGCTCGCGAAGCAGCGCTAGGAGCTCCGAAAGATGCCGATCTCAGGCAGCGACTTGCGCAGCTTTTTGAAGAAAGTGGAGGTGGAGCTATTGCAGCGGCCTGGGTCTCTGTCTTTTTTATTGGGACTCACTACCCTCTGGTAAACTAACATAGCTATTGAAAATCGTCATTTATACTGCTGGATTTACCCATTGAAAATAATGATTTTCCATAGCTATGTTAGTTTACCAGAGGGTACTGTGAATTCTGAATCCCAAGCACATGATGTTGTGTCTAGCTACAACTAAGCTATGTCGAATGGTCAGTTTTTTTGCACATTCATCTGCAATAGCACTCCCTACGCTTTTTAGGGGATCATCATCCGGAAAATTGCCGGGAAACTTCCCGTGATCTCCCCATCTATTGCTAGATAATTCAATGGCTTGGTTTTCCAGGGAAAATCTTCACCAACATTTCTTCCAATATTTGGGGGTTCCGGGGTTTCCTGGAATTGCTTCCTTAAACCAATCCATTGAATACTGCTCATTATATTGATGATTGGGGGACTTATTCCATTATTTATCCCCAATATGATATTCTTTTCATTTATATTATTTCCAATAAAAGTGTGTATAATATATATATATACATGTATATATATATACATATATATATACATGTATATATACACACATATATATATACATGTATATATACACATATATATATATATAAACACACACACATATATATATACACACTTATATATATACATGTATATATATATACATATATACATGTATATATACACATATATATATATACATATATATACATGTATATATACACATATATATATACATATATATATACATATATATACATGTATATATACATATGTATATATACACATGTATATATATATGCATGTATATATTCATATATATATATATATACATATATATACATATATATATATGTATATATATATACACATATATATATACATGTATATATACACACACATATATATATATACATGTATATATATATGTGTATATATATATGTATATATATATACACACATATATATACATGTATATATACACATATGTATATACATATATATATACACATATATATACATATATATATACACATATATACATATATATATACATATATATATATACACATGCATATTACTATAGTGCTTATTACAGCCCCAGCTTCTTTTGGAGGACTGGACCCCTGGAGACGCCAGGATTCGCTGCCGAAGCTGAGCCCGGAGACGGCGCATCTGGCGCTGACGATCTTTGCAGAGCTGCGATGTCGTCAGGTGCAGCTGGGCAGCTGGGGAGGGTGATACCTATTTCTGTTGAATCATAGAATGGTAATTACTATTAGTGATTCAACATCTATAGGAATATAGATATATAGTATCACAATCTATAGATTTATAATAATACCATTCAACTAATAATTACTATTAGGTATATAGAAATAATAACAGATGATTATATAGGTAATAATATAGATTTATATAATGTCGTATGGTGTATCTATAGGTAATACTAATAGATATCTGGTAATTATTAGAAATCTATAGATATATAGTATTACTATTAGTATATAGTGATTTATGTTTTTTCTATAACTATATGTGAAATATGTGGAATAGTATATGGCATAGATGATACTAAATTACTATAGATGACTACCTTAACATAATTACTGGGGAGGTGATACTATACCTATTAGATTTGTCTTATAGATTTCTGATCTGATTTTATGATGCAACATATGCATTTTTATGATTGAATAGATATACTAAAATGGATTAAAATGGCGATTTTCCAGTTCGCAAAGTGTTAGTCATTACCAGAGGACTACTAAAGAGGCTTGTTTTCAGGGCTCTGGTCATCAGCATCATCAGCGGTTTGCTGGAAAATCCTTTGTGATTTTCCCAGCTATAAACCTTCATGGCTAGGCCACGGGGATTTTCCAGCGATGGAGCTGATGACACCGGAGGGTTTCTTGTATCCTAAGGAAATATCTAATTATTATCCCATACATCCCCATGTATGTTCCATGATTTCCCCATCATGGTGAAAATACCATAAAATACCTATCATCATTCCCACCATTTTGCCGTTAAAACCTCCATTTATAGGGGATTTCCCCTGCTGTTCCAGCCATGGAGCCGAGTTTTCACGGTGATTACCGGAGGGTATAGCCCAATTATTGACAGAAAATGTCCATATGATGTTCCAACGTACCCTCTGGTTATGTCAAAATAGCTATTGAAAATTGCCATTCATAGTGGATTTTCCCATTAAAAATGGTGATTTTCCATAGTTATGTGAACGTTTACCAGAGGGTATCCCAGAGATTATCTTCCCATACTATGTTCCCATCATATTCCAAAAAGAAATCCCATTCAAAGATGGTCAAATGGACCTACTTTCTGGTTGTATTCCCGTACTTGCCCCACAAGAAATCCCCATGACTTGTCCCATGAGAATTTTCAAGAACTAAATCCCATTGATGGTTACTATCTAGTCTTATAGATCATTACTCTGATTTTCATTGCGGGTGGATTTATCCATGACATTCCATTATGAAGTCTTATAGATCATCTGATTTTCCATGATTTTCTTATAGAATCAGCCCATGAAATCCACTACCCATAGGATCCATGTATGGTATATATGCTAACATTTGGGGTATATTGATGGTAAATGTTACCATGTATAGCATACATGGATCCTATGGGCTATGGCTGGGCGCCATGCTTTTAGGGGGCCGTTTTTGCGTGGCCTCTGCTGCTAGAGCATCGCGCCGCGCTGCCGGCCGCGAAGCTGGCGGAGGCGGTGTGGGCGGCCTCTGCGGTGCCGAGCCCACCCAAGGAGCCGGCAGGGCCATGGGGCAGGGCCATGGGGCAGGGCCATGGGGATTTTTTTTTTGGTGAGTTGAAAAGATAAGGGCTATGTTTTATTTATCTATAAAACATATTTGGAATCTATCATAACTATATAATATTGTAAAGATAAGGGTTAAGATAAGGGTTATGTTTTTTTGACAAGTGACGTTTTGAAGGTTTTAGGATGTGTTTAGGAATTTAGGATTAGCAGAATCTTACAGCCACAGACTGAGTCCGGACCAAGGAATTATTTGTTCATTTTTTTCGTTTTGTTTTTAATGTTTTTTTTCCCGTTTCATATCATTCTCCGATCATGTGAAATTATCATTTTCATTTTTTTCATTCTCCAATTATGTGAAAATGTCATTCTCATTTGTTTATCGTGTTTCCCTCATGTGCAGTTAATATTATCATGTTCATACTTGTTCCTTTTTTGCATTTGCCATCATGTACTTGTCATTCAGCATCGAAAATGAATCGAAGCAAAATCAGAAACAGAAAATATTATATACATATGCCAAATGGGAAATTAAATGAAAAGTAAGAAAAACGCGACAGCAAAACTGAGAAAAGAAAACACACACACATACCTTAGCCCACACAAAAAATCAAAACAAAAAAGAACATGAAAACAGGTATGAAAATGAAAAATGAAATGAACAAAACGATATAAAACGAAAATGAAAACGAACATGAAAAAGGAAATGAAAAAAGAACGAACATGAAAACGAAAGAAAAAGGACACGGAAAAAACGAAAATGAAAACGCACATGAAAAAGGAAACGAAAAAAACGAAAATGAAAACAAACATGAAGGAAACAAAAATGAAAACACGCATGAAAAAGGAAACGAAAAAACGAAAAAAAACGAAAATGAAATCGAACATGAAAAAGGAAACGAAAAAAAAAAAAACGAAAAAAACAACGAAAAAAAACAACAAAAAACAACAAAAAACACGAAAATGAAAACGAAAATGAAAAAGGAACTGAATAAAAAAACGGAAAAAAAAAACAAAAACAAAAACGAAAAGGGTTCGAAAAAAAGTTCTTTTTGACAATTTCCAAGGTCAATTTTGAAGGCAAAAGAGGAAAAATAGCCAAAACGAAAAACAAACAAAAAACGAAAAAAAAAAACGAAAAGGATTCGAGAAAAAACTCCTTTGGACAATTTCCAAAATTTTACAAGGTCAATTTTGAAGGCAAAGGAGTAAAAATAACCAAAACAAAAAAAAAGGAAAAAAAAAAAAGGTTCGAGAAAAGTTCCTTTGACAATTTCGAAGGTCAATTTTGAAGGCAAACGAGGAAACATATCCAAAACGAAAACAAAACGAAAAAAACACGAAAAACACGAAAAAAACGAAAATGAAAAGGAAACAAAAAAAAACAAAAAAAAAACAAAAATGAAAACGAAAATGAAAAAAACCACGAAAAAAAACAAAAAAAAAAATGAAAAAGGACACGAAAAAAAACGAAAAAGGTTCGAGGAAAAATTCCTTTTGATAATTTCCAATGACAATTTTCAAGGCAAAGCAAGGAAAAATAACCAAAACAATACAGAAACGAAACAAAATGAAAAGAAACGAAAGGGTTCCAGAAAAAGCCCCTGGTGGCAATTCCCAAGGACCAAGGACCATTTTCGAAGCAAAGGAAAAAAAAATAAAAATGCCAAAGGGAGGAAAAACAGGAATGAAAAAAATAATGAGAAAACTTAACGGGGATTAAAGGGAATGATAATTTTCAATCCAAAAAAATGATGATCAAAATGAAAAAAACATGAAAAACATAAAAAACATGATTTCCAGTCCCTGTCTGGCTGAGATGAACATAAATTTAGGATAGATGTTGTTGGTTTTGGAGGATTTTCATGGGGAAACATGTGGAGAAATAGAGGGAAAACCATGTTTTTCAAGGGAGCAAACTGTCCATAGATTAGAAGAGGGACAGCAGTCCTTCATTTTTTGCGGTGGAAAAGCAACGAAGAATCATAGCAGAACATGTATATATAGATAAATATCAGGTTTTTTAGGTGCACGATATATCCAGAATGTTAGATGGCCATGGGGAGATGGGTTGAAGTGCCTCCGGAGGGCTCGTCCGGCGAGGGCTCTTCCGGCGGATGTGGTGATTTCACGTTGTGGGACATGACATGGTTGGACCATTGGGGTTTTGTTTTGTTTCAAAGTGGTTTGTTTTGTGGTGGGTTTTTCTTCAATCTTTTGGGTACGGAAACACAGTCGGCATCATGTTACTGCCATGGCCGCCACAAATTGGGGGTAAGTCACCATGTTCAGACAAAATTCACCGTCATTTCTGAATTTCCCATCTTTTCATGGTGGAGAGATGGCTGAATTATGCAGAATCCATATGTTTGTTGCTGAATTTGGCAGGTGCTCTAGACTCTAGTTCCTATTTTTGATGGTGAATTCACGGTTTTCAATGCTTGAAGATGCTCGAAGAACATGCTCAAATTATGAGTAATTCCTTCATTTTCCTGTATTTTTTGAATCGACGATTTCTTAAAATTTCCCATTGGTCAATCCACCATGACCGGGGAAAGGATTTCCCATAGCCATAGTCAAGGGTTTGGAGAAAAAACACCCAGATTAGGGGACGGTCAGCAATCCCCCCAAAGATGGAAAAATGATGAAAAATTGGGCTTTCCCCATAGCTGGATTGTTTGAGGGAAGATCCGACCAATGATAACTGGGTGTACCCCCAGTCCCATGGGTTTTGGACACCTCCATATGGCAGTCCCAAGATGGGATGGATGACTGGACGACCGGCAAGGACCTGTTGTATCAGGCGGTAGGTCTGGCAAGGGAGTTGACCCCACAGCTGCCGGAGCTACCCGATGAGGACGGCGCGGCGAGCCATTGGGCGGGACTAAAAACGGTGGGTTTTTGCATGTGAATACCCTCTGGTAATACAAAAAACGATGGAAAATCACCATTTTGAATGGGAAAATGAACTATAAATGGCAATGTTCAATAGCTATGTTAGTTTACTTCGGGTACTGATGCCCAAAAGGCATTTTTAGAGTCGGGAAAGTGATGGTACCAATGATATCTAATGATACTATCAGCACACTGAGAATTGAGCCTGCTAAATGGGGGAGCATTGTTTTCTCAACCATGAGATTTTGGGGTTCTTCAAACAAACCCAGCCAGGTGAAACGTGGTGAAACCCGAAAAGTGGCCTATCTGGCCAGCCTCAAACTTGCTTGCCTAGTCAAAACTGGATTTGGAAGCTGCTACTAAGCAACAACGGTGACTTCCTGTCAGATTTGATTGAATGTTTCCATCACACTTGGTTTGCTGAAGACAGTTTGGCTAAGCACATTGACATTCATGCTCATGTCATGCTTTGCAGTTGACACACTGCTCGCAATTCCATTTGCTCCATTCTATCAAGCCTGAAGTAGCTAGCCCCCTTTTACTTCCATCGATGCAATTGCGCGGCAAAAGAGAGTTGTGACCACTGGCACTGCAAGCTGTGTCAGTGGTAGCGGAGCCCTGCGGGGCATCCAGCCTAGTGGTCAGTGATGAGCGAGGCAACCGGTGGTCATGACACCTTGCCTGAGTTGCGAACGTGGGTGAGCGAAGATGGGGGCGAAGCTGCTTCTGGAGAACGAGCAGCGGCTAGCCAAGAGGCAGTGGGAGAACAGCAGTGGTCCGAAGAGGATTGGCAGCAGTGGAATCGTGGGCTATGGGGTTGGCGAGGCCAAGGACACTCTTGGTCTTATTCGACCTCTGGGGGAAGCCAGGTGGTTGGTGGTGCCGGCACTTTGCCTGCAGCAGCGGCCTCAGCAGATTCAGCGGCTCGAGATCCTTGGCTGGACCACGACCCATGGCAGAGACAGAGCTGGTCTTGGGATCAGGTCAAGGGCAAGGACGATTGGTGGCGCTCCCCGTCAAAGGGTGATTATGCTGACCCCCCATCATGGGCGGGTTGGGGGCATTATCGACTCTGGCGGAAAGCACTGCTTAGGTGGGACGGCAATACAGACGTGGCACAATATCGTAGATCAGAGAAGATACTCAAGAGTCTGGAGTGGGAACTTCAGGCGAAGTTGGAACACATAGATGAGAGTGTTCTTGCCTCTTCTGGTTACTTAGATGCCATATTTGGGGTCTTAGACGTCCTTGCTGGTGAACGTGAAGATTCCGAGAAGCGGCGCTCGATCAGAGCTGCGCTCTATGAGGGCAGCAGGCGATCAGAGGAGTCTCTAGCGCAATATGCCTTGCGCCGTGAAAGTCAGTTTGCCTCTGCCAGCAAGTACATGGTGATTCCAGATGAGTTGAAAGCCTTCATGCTGGAGGAGCAGTCCGGCCTGACAAAGCAGGGGTCCCAGAACTTGAGGGTCTTGACGGAAGGTCGTCATGAGTATGACCGTGTGAGAAGGGCGCTTCAGGTGCTTGATGTCGAAGAGGAGTCTCTTTTCAAGAGTGGGAAGAGCAACTACATGGTCTCCCCTGAGGAAGAAGATGAGTTCTCTGAAGAGGAGAAAGACGATGATCAGATCGATGAGGAGATCTTTGCTGTCATCAAAGACAAGGACCTAGACGAGAACGAGGCCCTCTCCCTTCTTGCTCAGCATGTGCCTCGAAGGAGAACGTGGTCAGAGAACAAGCAGCTGAAGGCGGCTAAGAAGAAGGACAGACGTCATTTTGACGATCGAAGCTCTCGCCCTGAGCGACCTAGGAGTCACAAGAGGCTTCCCATAGCCGAACTCAAGAAGATCACCAGATGTTCCAATTGTGGAGCCAGAGGACATTGGAAAGAAGACTGCGACAAGCCCTACAGGTCCAAGGAGAGCCGAGAGAAAGCCGAGCGATCCTTGCCAGGCGCTTCGGCCTTCGTGTTCCTTGGTACTGGTGAGGGCGAGAAGTTCGGTGGATCCTTTCTACTGTGTCCTTCTTTCTCCGAGGGCGGTAGCTTGACCTTTTTGTCTTTGCCATCAGGCCATGCCATTGTGGATCCTGGTGCTTCTCAGGATTTGATTGGCCTCAAGAGCTACGAGCGCTTGGTGGAAGCTCTGGCGCATAGTGGACTCAAGCCCATCAAGCTCAGTGAGAAACCAGCGCCAGCTAGTGGAGTTGGCGGAGATGCGAAGCCTCTGTTCAATGCCTTGGTTCCTTGTATCCTAGGCGGAAAGCCTGGGATCATTAAGATGACCATTGTACAGGAGGACATTCCTCAGCTGTTGTCGGTAGGACTTCTCGAGCATGCTGGTGCTGTTATCGATGTTGCTAAGAATCAGCTCGAGTTCAGAACCTTAGGCAGCTCAACCATGATGAATAGACTCAGCTCGGGTCATCGTACGATAGATGTGGCTTCCTGGAAGGGAGGTGTTTTTCCAGTTCCAGAGCAGCTGGAAACAGAGTTTTGTTTGAAGCCTGGCGCTTTCAATAGCTCCGACTCATCTGCCGTCAGAGCATACATGCAGCTGTCCGAGGTTGGTGACGGTGACCGGTTGTTTTTTGATGAGAGTGTTTTGCGACAAGTGTTAAACAAACATCGGTCAGTTGTGGAATGGAATCAACATGTCTTTTTTGTGCCCCCTTTGAATCAACCTTTATCACTGCTCAGTGAACAGACAAGGCGTAGCAGGTGTAATACTTTCAGGTCCAGTTGGTTGTTTTCTGATTCTTGCAGTGATGTCGTTGTGCTTGAATTGTCATGTCACATGCCATACATGTCGGAAGATCATTTGAGTCAAAGCATGGATCAATATTTTTTGAAACACGAGAACAGGTCGCGAGAGGATTTTGTGCTGATTCAAGCCATTACAACATGCCAAGTTGTTTTTCAGAGCGATAGAGATCAACTAGCCCGTTCCTCAGCCGTCTCAAAGTTTCAGCTAGGTGATCAGCAGCCTAATTTCGTGTCTCAATCTGTGGCTCATGGCGAGTCGTCCTATGAGCGAAGCACATCAAGAGCGTGCTCAGGGCAATTGGTGGCTGATGGTGCGCCAGATTCTCAGTCAGAGAAAGGGGCCCATGAATCAGCCATTGCCGGCGGAAGCTCAGTGGCAGTTGTCTCCTCATGTGATGTCCAAGAGTGGGGAGCCTCTGCCATCTCCACCAGCAGACCAGTGTCCTCATCCCCTGCAGTTCGTAGCACGGGGGGCCAACCAACATGGCACGTGGAAGAAGTGCAATCTATGTCTGAAGCAGCTGAAGTACCAGAAGTACAGCCTCAGCAACCCACCTCCTGCGAAGAGGAATCAGACCAAGAAGAACGTCACGAAGGAGACGTACGTGAGCACCGGACCTCCAGTGGCCATGACGCCCATGGCAGCACCAGGAACTCCCGGTGCCTGTCCAACGTCCATGGTGGAGATTCAGACAGTGCTGGCCGAGCAGACCCAGCACATGGCGAACACCGCTGCCAGCTCCATGTCTCAAGCGGTGGGCCCAGTGATGGAGGCTATCCATCAGCTGTCTATGAACCAGCAGGTCTTGCAGCAGATGGTGATGAATCAACAAGAATTTCTGGACCGTGTGGCTCGCGGTCAGTCAGTCAGCACCATGCCGGTGCCAGTGCCTATCCATGGGGGAATGATTTCCGACGAGGAGGAGATGGGGGAGGCATCCGATGGCTGGGTGCATCCTCGCCCAACTCAGTGAGCGATGAGTCAAATTGTTTCACCAAGCAGCTTGTAGATCAGAAATCAGGTGCAAAGTGTACAGAAGAATCTACTTGGTTTCAGGGTCGACTTAGCATGCCACTTGCGAATTTTCTTCTCAACCATTCAGGAGATGACTTCGGTTTCAGTTGGTTTTTGAAAAATGAGGGTGGGAAGCTTGTTGTTTGTTTTCAGGATGGTTCTTTTTGTGATGAGTTGTGTTTTTGTGATTTTCCTGAGGGTAAGGAAGTGCAGCTGTCAAAGAAACACAAAAGGCTTTTAGCCTCTGCCGTTGAGTCTTGTGATCTGGCATTTTGCCAACCCGTAGAGCAGCAGTTAGTTAGTTCAGGTGAAGTTCAAAAGCCCAATGGGGCACAAACATCCAGCCAAGTGGCCAAGGCAAGAACCACAAGAAAGAAGCTCACTGGAGCACAAACATCCAGCCTTGCGGACAAGGCGAGAACCGCAAGAAACTCACAAACCGCCAGCCATGCGGCCAAGGCCAGTACCGCAAGAGAAGAAAAGAGAATCATGGATCAACATGATACCGCAGCCTCTTTTACCAGCCCGTCAGGGCTTAGCGTAGATGGGTCTTCACACCTTAGCCAATGCTGGCTTAGCTCGGTAGGACATGGGGATGTCAATGGCTTGGAGGCTCAAACCAAGCGACTGTTGACTTGCAGGCAGGATGTCTCCAAGTACAAGATACTGGAGCTTTTCTCTCCACCTCGCGTCACTGTGGAGGCCAAAAAGAGGGGTTTTGCAGTCACGGAGCCATCCAATTTTGATCTGCAGACAGGTTGGAACTTTTTTGATGCGAGAGACAGAGCTTTTTTCTGGCAAGTGATGCAGGAGCAAGAACCAGACTGCGTTTTGATGACGCCTCTTTGCAAACCTTTTTCTACCATGATGGAGAGCAACTGGAGCCGCATGAACTGTGAGGAAGCGAAGAGGCTTCAACAAGCTGGACTGGCGATGTTGCATTTCTGTGTGCAAGTGGCGGAGTTTCAGTTGTCTAGGGGCAAGGAGTTTAGTTTGGAACAACCCGGCTCAGCAAGCAGTGGTCAGACTCACGCTTTGCACTGGCTGTTGCAGCAGCCAGGCGTTGTGCGATTTCTGTTTGACCAATGCATGACCGGTTTATCAGTCAAGGACAACGAGCCTTCTAGGAAGACCACATCCTTGACTACGAATCATTTGGGTCTGGCAGCCATTTTTTCAGCCAGGCAGTGCGATGGATCGCACGAACATGTGCGCTTAGAAAATGGTCTTCCAGCCAAGGCAGCCATCTTTGGCCCGGAAATAGTGAAACTCTTTGTCAAGGCATTGTCTTTTGAGCCAGATGTTAGTTGCTTCTTTGGAGAAGATGAAGAAGAAGAAGACCTAGAGGATGCTATCGACCAGGCGGTCGAGGCTGGCGGCAGACCTATTTCTTCTTTGCCTGTGAGGACAGAGCTTGCGAGAAATGAGAGATTGACCAGTGAGCAGATAAGGAAAATCAACCAAGTTCACGTGAATCTTGGTCACATTAGTCGTGATCAGATGCTCTCTCTGTTCAAAGCTGCGGGGGCCAAAGACAGTGTGATGCAGTATGTCAAGAACGACTACAGCTGCGCTCAGTGCTCTCGACAGCGCAAGCCAGTGGAAAGGAAGAAAGCAACCATGCCAAGGACTTTCGCTTTCAACAGACATGTTGGCATCGATACCTTCTATGTGGCTTGGAGGGGAACTACTCACGCCTTCATGAACGTGGTATGCCATGGCACAAACTACCAGCAGGTGACTTGGCTGCGTGGCTGCGAAGCAGGCATGCCACCTTCTAAGCTGATGTGGCAAGCCTTTCTGCAAGCTTGGATCAAGCCATTTGGCTGTCCTGAAGTTGTCATCAGTGATGGTGGTTCCGAGTTCAAAGATCAATTTGAACGCTCACTGGAACAGCACAACGTCCTTCAGGTGATCTGTGACGCAGCCAGTCCTTGGCAGAATGGCAAGGTCGAAAGACATGGCGGATGGGTGAAGGAGCGAGCTGAGTTGGAGCTTTCCTCAGGTCAATGTGTGGCCACATCTAGTGAAGACCTTGAGGAATTGATCACCTTCATCGTCTGTCACAAGAATCGGTGGTTCAGTCGAGGGGGGTTTTCTCCCAGTCAGCTGGTGTTTGGGAGCAATCCCGATATCCCAGCCGACCTGCTTGGAGACAGTCCACAGGACATGGCTTGGCAAGACATAGAAGCAGATGTCTTTGATCAAGACACCGCTGCCATAGCTTTCGCCAAGACCCACCGAATTAGACAGCGAGCCAGAGAACTATGCGTGATGGACACCGCCAACACCAAGATACGACTCAGTCAAAGGGGCCGTATGCACAAACAACGACAGTGGGCCTTGGGTCAATGGGTTTACGTTTGGAGAAGGTACCCAGGGACCGGAGGAGGACATGTCACCAGAGCTCGCTGGACTGGGCCAGGTGTTGTGGTTCTGCAAGTAGGACATACAGTCTACGTTTCCATGCGCTCAAGGTTGTGGAAGTGCAACAGTGATCAGTTGCGGGCCGCTTCTCACTATGAGTCAGTGGGTGCCGCTTTGGCCGACACACCAGAGATGAGGGATATTCTGCAACAGAGCAGACAAGGCCGATGCGGCGCTGTTGATGTGGCCTCAGAAGGATCCCCTCCCGATGGAGCAGAAGATCAAGGAGTACCGGACTTCAACTCAAGGGTTTCAGTTGCGTCTGCAGCCACTCCCCTGCCCACAATACCAGAAGAACGAGAAGCTCGACCAAGCGCTCCCTTGACCCCAGTTCCTCAGACTCCAAGACTTGGTCAGGGACACCTTCTTCGGGGCATCGGAACTGGCTCTAGGGGAACTGACACTCCTGTGACACAAGCTCCAACGACTCCAAGACCAAGAATCAGAGCAGAATCCAGAGAAGAACCACTCGCTGAACCAGCTCCACAAGACAAACGAAGGAAGACATCCGAAGTGTCTCCAATGATCAGTGAGGAAGGCTCTACACCAAGATCTGACCGGAGCAGAGTGAAGCGTCAGGTCACAGAGATAGAGCGTGCTGTGGAAGAGCAGGAGTCCAAGAGACTTGAGAGAGAGGCGTTGAGAGAACTGAAGCGCATCGAGCGAGAGGAAAAGGCTGCAAGAAGATCTGAGGCTTCTTCAGCATCAGCTTCTGCGTCAGCATCCGCTGGCATCCAAGATGTACCAGAGGACACTCCAACTCCTTTAGGAGATGATGATTTGCTGACGCACCTGTCCTTCTTGCAGCTGAAGCCCTCAGAGAACAAGACTTTGCTCGTCAAAGGCATGAAGCCCAAGAACAGCGAGTTCAACATGAGAGATGCCACCCCTGAAGACATAGAGGGTTTTAGGAAGTCCGATGCTTCTGAGTGGCAATCTATCGTTGAGTTTGGTGCTGTTAGAGTGTTGGATGAAGCTGAGTCTGAGTCTGTTCGTAAGAAAGAGCCTCATCGTATTATTGCCTCTCGGGTAGTGCGCAGAAAGAAACCAATGCCGGGCATAGGGAATTTCAAGTACAAGTCTAGGTGGTGTGTGTTAGGTCATGGTGATCCTGATGTTGGCACTTTTCGTACTTTTTCTCCAATGCCCTGCACTGAAGCCATCACCCTGTTCTTTCTTTTAGCACTTTGCTTGGGTCTCAGCATGTCCTTTGCCGATGTCAAGTCGGCGTTTTGTCAAAGCAATCCATTGAATAGGCCTCAAGGGCCTCTGTATGCTGAAGCATGCGCTGGTCTCGGCCTCACAAGCAGGCAGTTAATTCAGTTGATAGCTCCTGTTTATGGATTAGACGACGCGCCAATTCGATGGCACGACACAGTGTTGGAGTTTCTGCTGCAGCTTGGTTTCGAGCGCTCTCTTTTTGAGCCATGCTGGTTAGTGAAGAGAATCAATGGAAAGATCGAGGCCATGATCCTCTTGGAAGTCGACGATTTCAACATTGCGGCAACCAAGGAGTATCAACCGATACTTCAACAGCTTTTGACTGAGCGCTTCGTGTTTGGCAAGTGGGAACGAGACTCTGCCGATTTTGCCGGCCGCACTGTGACTTTTCTCGAAGACCGCGTGGTCATGTCCCAAGAAAAGTACATTGTGGAGAAACTGCATCAAATCAAGGTGTCCAGAGGCATGCTGAGCAACAAGAAGGCGTATCTCACGCCTGATCAGTTTGAAGAGTACCGCTCGATGCTGTATCGAGTGAGCTGGCTAGCACATCAGACCAGACCAGAAGCGGCAGGGATAGTGAGCTTGCTGTCGTCAAGGCTCAACAAGGCCACCATTCATGACTTGTCCTGTCTCAACAAGCTGATACATCACATAAAGAGTACGGCAAGTCAGCCCTTGGTACTTCACAAGTTTGACCTGGACAAGCTGATTCTCATTGCTGCTTCGGACGCTGGTGGGGTCGCCAGCAACCCCATCGCCGAAGAAGCAGGCTCGGAAGAGTTGGAAGACACAGTTCAAGGTGCTTGGGTGATTTTGGCGGCAAACAGAATGCCCTCTGCTTCTCAAAAGACCAAAGTTTCAGTGCTTTCCTGGCGATCCTCTAAATTGAAACGAAGGGTATCCTCCACTTTAGCTGGTGAAGCCTTGTCTTTCTCTCAAGCTCTTTCAGAAGTTGAGCGGATACAACTGATGATCAGAGATGTTCTGCATGGCGACGTTCATCGTGAAGACTGGCGCAAGTCGATTGTGCCATTTGTGGCAGTGCTTAAAGAAGACTGTCAGCTCAAAACACGTTTGGATCAGTGCTGTGTGACTGACGCTAAGTCCCTTTTTGATGCTATCACCAAGGAGTCCACAGGTTCCAGACAGGATCGACGGACGGCAATAGAGATAGCTATCATTTTGGATGCCATCAAGAAATCGAAGAGCACCGTCAGATGGTCGCCTCATCCCAGGATGATAGCCGATGTCTTAACCAAGGACAACATAGCCAAATCCAACGGAGCCTTGGAAGAGCTACTTAGAACTTCTAAGCTGAGCCTTTGGGAGGAGGAAGAGGAACTTCAAAAGCGTAGGGAAGATCCAAGTTTTAAACTGAGATCCAAGAAAGCATCAGAACGAATGCGCTCTGATGGTAACTTCATGTTGTCAATCGCAGGCTTAGCCAACAAGAAGTTTGGGGAACTGATTGAATGTTTCCATCACACTTGGTTTGCTGAAGACAGTTTGGCTAAGCACATTGACATTCATGCTCATGTCATGCTTTGCAGTTGACACACTGCTCGCAATTCCATTTGCTCCATTCTATCAAGCCTGAAGTAGCTAGCCCCCTTTTACTTCCATCGATGCAATTGCGCGGCAAAAGAGAGTTGTGACCACTGGCACTGCAAGCTGTGTCAGATTCTATAGATTTGCTTCTTCCAACGGCAAGTTTATCAGCAAAAACCCATCACATTTAGGTGAAAATCCACGAAATCGTCCTGTCAAAAACCTGTCAAAAACCAGCCCTTTTCTTGATGTTTCCACCAAGTCCCCAACAAAAATCAGCATTTTAGTTCGTTGAATCAGTTCAATCTTCCAAATGTCCCATGAAAATCAACATCAACTCACTGAAATCCTCCAAAATTTCCCCAAATCCTAACAGTTTCATCCAAATCCATGGTGACCATGGGACCATGGTGCACCCCAGGCGCTCTACCGCTGCGTCTACGGTCTGGCTCGGATCCACAGCGGCCGGGGCTCGGCGCTGTATCTGCGCAGCGCGCAGCGCTGCGCGGTGCAACTGCTGCAGCGGAGGCCGCTGCAGTTGATGCCGAGGCAGTTGGTGAGGCGAGGCGAAGCGAAAAAGTGCTGGTGCCATGGGGGTTTTGATGGGTTTTGGGACAAAGAAGTGGAGAAGTCTGGAAGTTGATGTGTGTTTTTTTTGCGAAAATTGGGAGAAGTCTTTGTTGATGCGTTGGATGAAAAATCCTCGTTCATCAAAACGTGGGTCCGCTGGGACCATTTTTGACACATCCCATATGAGTGGGGTATGAAGATCCGCAGCTCTTGTTCTTTTTGGTTGCAAAGAATATGGTTTATTCCATGTACACCCTAGAGACCGAGCATAAAGCATCCTCAATTTTGCCAGCGGTGTTTTTTTTTGCCATACCCAGTTGGAGGTTTAAGGCGTTGGCTTTGCATACATGAATCCAGTTGAATCATTAGTCATACTTTGGATGATGCAGGAAGCTAGGATAGATAGTTAAAGATGTTAAAGTTAAACTAAGACCAACACATTTGGGATGCAGCGACAGAAATATGGGGAATGCGACATCACATGGAGCTCATAAAAGGAGTCAAAAGAGTCGAAGGTGTCAACATAAACATACATAAACATGATATGATAGACATGTGTTCCACAGATTGGCCTGTTAAGTAACCCCCTTCGACCCGGGGTTGCCGCAGAGGTTCTGTTGGTCATTGGCACGCCTCGGTTGCCGGGAGAATGTGGTCTATGAAGCCTTTGAAAATTCTTTGCGCGACGTGTTAGACAAGCTTCAATACAAGGACTTTGGCGAAAACATGCTTGGCACATATAGATACATATGGTGATTTCACCATGAATTCTGCGATTTAATGGTATAGTGGGGATATGTATAGTGGGGGATATGTCATTAACCAACATTAACCAACTATATGAAAATATTCATTTTTGGGTCTGAAAAGAGGTTTTTTTCCGCGAGAAAAGCCGCTCCATTGGATTTCAGTTCATCCCATCACCCAATATGAGATTCATGAATCTCCCCCATGATGTTTCAGATGTTTCATATCCCCCAATGATATTCATATTATATTCATATTATATCATATTATATCACATTATATCATATTATATATATATATCATATTATATCATATTATATAATATTATATCATATTATATCATATTATATCATATTATATCATATTATATCATATTATATCATATTATATCATATTATATCATATTACATCATATTACATCATATTACATCATATTATATTATATCATATTCATATCATCTCATATTATATCATATTATATCATATTATATCATATTATATCATATTATATCATAGTATATCATATTATATCATATTATATCATATTATATCATATTACATCATATTACATCGTATTATATTATATCATATTCATATCATATCATATTGTATCATATTATATCATAGTATATCATATTATATCACATTATATCATATTATATTATATCATATTCATATCATATCATATTATATCATATTATATCATATTATATCATATTATATCATATTATATCATAGTATATCATATTATATCATATTACATCATATTATATCATATTATATCATATTACATCATATTACATCATATTACATCATAATATATCATATCATATCATATTATATCATATTACATCATATTATATCATATTATATCATATTATATGATTCATATCTCCCCCATGATGTGTCCCCTCAATATCTCCAATTTCCAGCAGATCCACTTCCAGGACTTAGAGGCGTTGTATAGCATTCTGACGGAGCTGGAGCGCGTGAACCAGTGCCTCGCATTCTACACAGGCTGTAGATGATCGTGTTTCACTTAGTAAGTGGGTTATAACCCCAGTTATAAAGGGGATAAGTAGGGTTAATCCACTTATAACTGGGGTTATAACCCATTTACTAAGTGGGATGAGCCACCAAGTAGGTCTCCAACGGTTCTATCCTTTTTTGGAATGCTATACATGAAGTTACCTGTACATACACAATATACACATGTCGGGCATACATTTTTGTTGCGTTTGTAGGGACTTCAGGTGAGAGCAAAGTTGTGGTGATATTCTGCTGATCTTTTACAGGAGGAATAAGCCCTTCTGAATTTGTCAAACAGCGATTAACATGCACACAATAGATATGCATACAAACCATATTGCATATATATATATATATGTACAATAGTGATGATAATAATCATCATAATACTGCAAAAACAAAATAATCACACTAGTAGTAATGTAGGTCCTTTTCCTTCTAGTAAGGAGTAATACTGTAATGATAATGATAATGAAAATGAACATGATAACAACAATGATAATGACAACAATAATATTAACTATGAAACGCCTTTTTGTTTATTTACCATAATAATGGTTAAATTTATGTTCACCAAACCATAGCTTATTCTTATTTTTTTAAAACTTGAAAAAAAACGCGAAAAATGCAAACACAAATGGAAAAACCAAAAAGCAAATCAGCAAAATCCAAAAAACACAAAAGCAAAATAAAAGAGAAAAGGGAAACAAAAAGGAAAGACAAAAAGGTGAAAAAATGGGAAACAATGGACTTGTCCATTTGCATTTTTGTTGTTGTTTTTTTTGCTTTTTCGATTTGTTTTTTTTTGCTTTTGTTTTGCTTTTATTTTGTTTTTTTTTGCTTTTTGCCTGGAAAAAAAATAAAAGCAAAACAAAAGCAAAACAAAAACAAATCGAAAAAGCAAAAAAAAAACCAACAAAAATGCAAATGGACAAATCCATTTTTTTTCCCATTTTTCACCCTTTTTGACGTTCCTGTTTTTTCCCATTTATTTTGTTTCCTGTGTTTTTCGGTTTTGAAGTTTTGCTTTTTGATTTTCCATGCGTTTTCCTTTTTTTTTGTTTTTTTTTCAAGTTTAAAAAACATTAGAATAAACTATAGAGGTGGACATAAGGTTAAATCATCGCAACAACGGTTATGATGATGATGATGATGATGATGATGACGATGATGATGATGATGATGATGTTGATGATGATGTTATCCTCGCGTTGCGGGGAGAGGTGGAAGTTGATCCACGACGTGGAGCGTGCCATGGCCTCGCGCGGGGAGGACGACAGCGCCAAGCGCCCGCGGAAGAAACCCTTCCGACGCCGCTGGACGCGGGCGGATCTGATGCACACGGTGCTGGCATAAGGCGGGGAAAATGCTTGGAGTTCGTGTTTCGAGGGCAGTAAATTCATGGGGAGTTCACTATGAAAATTGATGTGGCTATCATGAAAATCCCATGGATGTAAATGTGATGATGTTAGTGAAAAATTGGATATGAGTGTTGGATCCATGAAAATGGGGATATCATGGGGATGTTTTCACAATCTGGTGATTGTTGGGGATGTATTGGGTTCTATTCCCATCAAATCTGGAAATCGGCAAGTATCATGAGTGATTTTTGGGACTATAACCAGAAAACATGGGGATATTGCAAACAAAACAGGGATTTATATAACCAACTTTGTGCTGTTTTCAGAGGACACCATGTGGATATCACTTCCTATAGCAGGAATGTAAGGATATCATTCTTGACTTTCGCAGATATCATGGGGATGTCAACAACATCCGCCGAGCAGAATGGGGAAAGGATGTAATGGGAATTGGAACCAATGATATTGGGTATGTAGTGGGGATGTATTCAACCACCATCGGGATAGAGTGAGGATTTGGTATGTGGATATCATGGTGATATCATGGTGATATGCTGAGGATGTAAGGAAATGAAGAGATGGAGATTCTAACCAACAGAACCGATGACATAGTGAGGCTTAAAAGATGAACATCCTTGGTATATATTGGGGATGATTATTGGGCAATGGCCATATACTGGGGATATATTAACAATCCGGAGATCTTGAGGATGTATTGGGTTCTATTCCCAACAAATCTGGGGAAAATGAAATAACCAGCGATGATTGGAATGTCATCGGTTTTTTTTGTGAATATGATAAAGATATATAAAGATATATAAAGGCTATAGTGGTAAGATACAACCGGCAAACATGGGGCACCCAGGATGGGATGTTGCGGAACGACAACGGATTCAACCAGTGACATTTGGGGTATGCATCGAAGCAACTTGCAGCCCAGACCTTGTGGCGACAGTGCCTCTTCCATGGGCGTGCCGTGAACGTGCCGCCCATTTGGAATGGTCAAGGACAACCGGACCATGTTGTTGTTTTTTTGGATGTCAGAGATATCGATTGCTGGTGGAGATCGGATCGCGGCTTCGTATGCTGGACCATGTTAGAAGCTGCGGAGTCTCCAGCGATCGGCTGGGATCTTTATGAATCTTCCAGCATTTCTCTTGTGGCTTGGCATACTGGTGTTACGTGCCATAGAGCTGTGCCAATATGATTCAACTGGATCTGCAGTTGATTTTTCAACGTTTTGCAACCATATGCAGATGCACAGTCACAGACAAACACATAGACGTTGAATCATTTCGGCAGGTTTTGCAGAGGCACGAGCTGTCATCTGCATTGCAAAAGACATGGTTCACTTTGCAAAAGACTTGTCACATGACATGGGTGACCGGTGGGGAGAGTCCTCTGTGACGAGTCATGGCGAATGGCTGTTGTATCCCGTTGACGTTTTGGTTCAGCCGCCATAGCCTGAAACCGAGTGCTGAAACAGTAGCTCAAGGTGGCCCGACCTGATACAACTGCTCAATGTTGCATAAATTCTGTCACAACATGTGAAAATGCTCGGTGAATGTATGCAAAAGTCACATTCTTGGGCATAGTGGCATAGTGGCCCTGTTCTTCGCTGACCAAACACTTGCTGTTTCTGCTGTGTAGAAGAAAATGCTGTGGGGAATTTGACTCATCACCTCAAAGTGTTTTTTCAAAGTCACAGCCAGCCCAGTCATAGTCTGGGTGTGTGACATTCAAAGTCGCGACAAATTTCACTCTGGGATTTCAAGAAGCTTTGGAGATCTGTTATCGTCGTCCAGGATTGCTTCAAACATGGCTCGCTCCAGCCTCCTCCCCGCTGTCCGGGATTCCCAGCAGACATTGCCCTTGGGGGTTTTCTGTGCATTTGGGGGTTGTCCGAAATGGAACGAAATGCGGGCGGGACCTACACCCAACTCATCCCAACTCACCCAACATTGCAATTTGGATGAGGAAAAGATAATTGGTACATACCCAATTTTGGAGAAATCCATTCAGTTGCCCTCTTGGAACAAAACATGGAGCATTGGGTTGCCCCTTGAGGTGGGCTCAAGAGAAATCTAACCGGGTTTGAACGTTGGGCATATCAAATCAGAAGCCCACATCAATCCTTTCCAAGCACACACAACTGCTATTGATCCATTGACCCCGCTTCATTTCTAGTTGTCCTGAAGATTGGCACTCATGCTTTTCCTGGAAAGCTTTCTGGCTCAACCAGTAGCTATGGCATATATGAAGGGCCTCCTTGGAGCCGGTTTCCCCCAAGCCACCCAATCTGGTCACATGCTGCTGGAGCACTTTCAAAGAGGACACATGCGAGGCCTTTGCTGACAGGTTCTCCAAGCTGCAATGCAGCTTGAGTCCAGGAACACGACAGGGCGGCATCTGCATAAATGTGGAATTCCTGACAGTATGTCAGGGGCGCATAGGGGTGCTTGGTTCCTCCAGGATTGAATTTTTGGTGGATGCAGATTCCGGCAGCATCCAGCAGTGATCAGGTCAGCAGGTCAGCCATTGGCACTTTGGAACAGGATGGCAGGGCCATGGCAGGTGGGAGGTTCGCGGTTCGCACCACTCTCTTCATCCCACCGAAGAGGCTTCGTAACCAGACCTGGACAAAGTTTATTGATGCTCCTGCTTTGGCTCTGTTGACAGGGGATACTGGTTTTCTTGGGACAATTGTTGAGCGACTTAGGACTTAGGGAACAGCATCACGGTGCTAGTTGAAGAAAACAGATTTGGAACCATTTCAACTTATGAATGTGCAGGTGTGGAGGTGGTTCGACTTCAATTGGCGTCCGACAGAGCTTCGAAAGTTAGAGCCGTCCTTCATCCGAATGGGAGCGGTTCAGTGAAGCTCAGTGCAGAATTTCGGCTTCCTTCCTTCGATGATTTCACTGCGCAGGAGCACACAGTGGTGAAGCTCATGAAGGATTTGGGATACAGGTGCCAAGATGGCTATCTTGGCCACCAATGTACGAAGTTTTGGTTCACAAATGAATTGGGCTCTCTCACGGTCTACCCACTAATAAGGCTTCAGTTTTGGCAGTGCATGACCATGTCACCCAGGGCGGCAGAAGGTCATGGGAACACAATGGGGACCGGTTGGCATTTTTCTTGCCTACAACATCTACAGCAGGTCGGGGAAGGTGGCTGGATTTGGAGACCTATGGCAACATCCAAAGCAGGGCAATTTTCAGGGGTGGTGGGCCTTTCATGTTGCCAGATTCTCCAAACCTGACTGCTGAAGCACTTAGACGGCTAGGTTTCTTGGACGATGGTTTAAATGGCAACCTTGCTGAAGCCATGCTTGTGTTTGCAAATCTCTCTGACAACAAAAACACATTGAGGAGACTGGGCATGTTGCCTGATCCTGAGGACAAGAGCCTTGACGTCGAGAGGAAACTACGTTCGGCATTTCTCTCCACTGCATCTCCAGGAAAGTGGTGCAGGAATGAAACTGCTCTTTCCCAGAAGGTGTTGCAAACCCTGGAGAGGGCAGACATGCTTCCTCAAAAAGGTCCCTCTGAGTACTCCCACGAAGAGATATTTGAAGCGATGAAGTCTTTTGTCAGTCGACAGAAGCTACCTCGCATGCACACATTCAATGGTCTGCGTTTCAGGATTCGTCGCTACATTGAAAGAAAGAATCCAAGCATGAGGAAAGAGGTCGATTTTCGCAGGTGATGGCATTCAACCAGCGAAAAAGAAGGTGCTTACGTACACAACGGTCCGTTTCGTAAGTTTAGTGCCTTCCCAGTTTCTGAGCCTTGCGTGCAAAACTGGCAAAGACGGTACGTTGCTGTGAGTCGAAGTGCTACACCTTGCCCAGGCGCTTTGGTGCGTTGCCGTGGTGACTTTGCTGCGATCCACCTGCTTCGTGCAGGCGGGTGCCTTGGTTCATTTTTTTCGTGACACCAAACAAGTAAAACTACGGGAAAAAATCTACAAAGTCAACATCTTAAAACTACATAACACTGATAGTTACTTTATCTGGTTGGTGGTTTGGAACATTTTTGATTTTTCCATATATTTGGAATAATCATCCCAGCTGACTAATATTTTTCAGAGGGGTTGAAAGCACCAACCAGTTATACTCAGTGACTTATGACCTATTTTAAACTATTTAGGGATCTGCATGGCCCATGGTCAGGCCCCTGCGCGCACTCTGGAGGCTGCCACGTGGGAAGAGTTTGGCCACCTTTGGCCAGACCCTCTAGTCAATGGATGATTGGAATATACTGGAATATCATCCATGATGAGTATATTCCAGTATATTTTGGCCACATCCATTGTGGACTAAACATGGATGATATTCCAGTATATTTTATGATGTTTATATATATATTGTTTATGATGTTTATCACGTCACAAGCCACATCACAAGCACATACTATTGCAACACACTACACTTACAGCGTATTCATCAGCGCTGTCAATACTGGTGCACAGATCCAAACATGTCCAAACGAGGCAAGGATTCTTGGCCCCTGGCTCCAATCCCATGTTGGTCATGGCACTGGCTAATCCAAGCACTGATAAAAAAAAACCTGGTTGAGTGATTTGGGTGTATTCAGTTGCTCTTAGTCAAGAATCAGACATGGCTTGCTGGAAAATCTCCTATTTAGTTCGATGTTTTTTCCATGAAAAATAATTTTTATCATCTATAAATGGGCCATGTTCCATACTTATGTTAGATTAGATAACCACCAACTAAATATATCCAATAATTCCACCATTATACAATAATTGATGGTAAATATTGATGGTTAAATAGCCAGATGGTACGATTCTTGGGTCATGTAGCCACCATTGCACCCCATCGCAGACTCAGCAGCTGCGAGCATTAGAGACGGCCACTCTGTCCACTGGTCTCTCCATGGCAGGAGTGGTTTGGTGGTTTCCTAAAATGGGATCCCCAAGTCACCATGGGTTTACTAAGTCATGGTAAATTAACATAGACCCTGAAAATCACCCATGTTTAATGGAAACTAGTCTTCCAACCCCGATGACTGCCAGGGTCTATCTTAATATACCAGAGGGTAAGTCATGGTCAAATGACTTGGATGATTTTTGGGGTACCCGCATGACTTCGGAATGGAAAAAACCTTCAGAAATTGGCATTTCACCCAGTACAACGGTGGTGTCACCAAGAAGAGGATGTGCAAAGTGGGTATTGTACGGCGACCCAAAGAGAAACGGAGATTCAACCAAAGCAATTTTGGACGTATAGAGATTCACAACCAATACATGAAACAGGTATAGGGTATGGCAAGCTAGTGGAAAATGGGGAATTAGTGGATACATTTCAGCAATCATGGGATATGTGCGATGTTTTTACCTTGCTGGAAAGAGAAACCATCCAACTATTGAACTATTTTGGATATGGAATGGGAATATTCGCATCTGCATCAGTCCCATTGTTGAATCCAATTTATAATTTTCTCGTGTTCACATACTTCTTCTGATCAAATGCGATGGATATTACCCTCTGGTAATTTAACATAGCTATTGAAAATGGCCATTTATAGTGAGTTTTCCCATTAAACATGGTGATTTTCCATAGTTATGTTAAATTAATACGTGAGCGTACACGTCCCACGGCGATCACCGCGATCACGGCGACCGGGTGAAAGCTGACTTATCCAGCTACCAGTGGATTTCAGCATCACCACGGACTTCGCAAAGATCAAGATGGAGTTCGCGAAGAATGGCGGTTTCCAGTTGAAGAAAAATTAGATGAACTACCATAATATATGATTCATATTGATTCATTACATTTATGATTATAACACTATTCACATTACCCGTGTGTGTATATTCACATGGTGTTCAATCGTGTCCGCGGCAAAAATCATGAAAGTCTGGTGATATACGCAGTGACTGCAAATAGGGACAGGGTCATACTGTATTTTGCCAATAGTGGTATGCATTTGCAACATGCAGGGAATCTACTCTCATTTTGTGGCCACAAAAAATAATGCGGAACATGATGTTCTAAAACATGGGTGACTTCAACCACGCATGATAAGATATTGTATTTGGATGTGAGCCCCTGGTATTGGGCTATGCAGACGGCGTATGTTGCCTAGGTGTTGGCGTTGGCTCGTTTTAGCCTACGTTACACCGCATGGGCTTTGCGTAGACACTCGCTTACAACAGCTAGAAATCATTCGTTTAGCAAAACACCATGCCACACAAGTAAGAAAACAAAAAGATATTATGGCCACATAGGCAAAGTCTACACCGCGCAGGGTTGCGTAGGCACCCCTCAAAGAACTTACCCTGCGTAGGCTACCTCAGACAATGGCTTAAAGGCTCCGCGTAGAATTTGTGTAGGCTATTTGCTGGTCACCGAAAGACAAGGATAAACAACACTACTTAGTTGCCAATTTCAATTCCGGGGATATGCCGCCTATAATTTGCTGCCGAATTCATTCAATGGTATGCCCTCCAGCAAGACAACATGGTTTTTCCAAAGTTGAACGACTGGATTTCAATATCTTTCTGTCAATTTCCTGGAGGGTAAATCTTTATTTTGAGCGAAATCCCAATAGAAAATCCCACTCTGGAGATTTCATTTTCCCTTTTTTGCCCAGGAAAATGCATATTTTGTAGGGAATCCCCATAAAAAGATGTTTCATTCTTCCAAATTTGCTATGGATGGTGTAGAAATATGCTATGGAGTCCTGGAGATGCATGGATGATTCACAGTATTTACATGTATTTACTGTACGCCATAATTCACAGCTTTTCAACTTTTGTATCTATTTTGGGGGTGGCCAGGGTTTAATAGTTGGATAATGTTGGATAAGTTTATTAGGATTATGAACACCCATATCTATTAATGGATTAATGGATTATTAGTTGGATAAATTCACTATCTGGTTGGTGGTTTGGACCATTTTTTATTTTTCCATATATTTGGAATAATCATCCAATCTGACTCATATTTTTCAGAGGGGTTAAAACATGTTAAAACCACCAACCAGCTAACTAGTATCAATCCATTCATCCCCATCAAAAAATATCCATAATCCATTAATCCATTTATCCCCATAAATACATTAATCCCCATCAAAAAATCTCCATTTACCCACCAAAATCCCAGGGTCTCATGGGTTTTGCAGCACAGGAGCCCTGCCGGCCTTCGCCACATGGGGGGAGGGCTCCGAGCCCGGCCAGAACATCGACCCTGCCTGGCATCCTGGGGGCCCAGCGGGCCCAGCTCTGACTTGGTTTTTCTTGGGGGAAAAAAATCATGGCAACTCACTTTTGAAGATGTATAATATATATAATTGATGGATATAATTGATCCATTTCAAATGGTTCATTACCTTTTTTATTACCATTATATCACTAGCATAATATATATACTGGTTGGTGGTTTCAAACATGAATTTTATTTTCCATTTCATATATGGGATAATCCTTCCCATTGACTTTCATATTGCCATGATTTAGCCATTTTCCATTTTTTATTTTCCATGGCTAATATACCCTCTGGTAATTTCACATAGCCATGGTATAGATGGCCCATTTATAGATGGTTTACCTGGGTTTACCTATTAAAAATTGTGATTATCCATGGCTATGTTAAATAACCAGATGGTATAATTGATGGATATATAATTGATGGATATATAATCATGCCAACTCAAATTTATATTTTTGATGGACATATAATTGCGGCCAGGACGGGTGTGCTGCCCAGGGAAGTGCGTTTTGATTTTTCGCAGGGCCAGTGTTTTTTGCATTTTGGGATGTCGGCCAACTTGCAACTTGGCTGACGAGATTCGTTTCCAAAATAGAAAACTTGGAGTGCCATCACATCACGCGCGCTACGGTGCGCTTGGCACCCGGCACCGAAGGTTCATCAGGTGCGTTACGAACCCAAAAACAGAAGAGCACGAAGAGTTGGCTTCGTGCTCAACGCACTCTATGCACACTGTTGGTGCATGCACTGACAGCGCTAATATGTTACACGTTTTAATACCATATTATAATACCCTAAACCCCAAGGGGGTTACCGTAAACGAGTGGTAAAGTTTTGGCTTAGAAAAGCTGGATAATGCTGTCTTTCATGCTCCTTTCCTTTGAAAATAGCCACCGGAAGGGCCTTCAGAAAGCTCCCAGAAAGGTCCCAGAAAGGTCCCAGAAAGCTCCCAGAAAGGTCCCAGAAAGGTCCCAGAAAGGTCCCAGAAAGGTCCCAGAAAGCTCCCAGAAAAGGTCCCAGAAAGGTCCCAGAAAGGTCCCAGAAAGGTCCCAGAAAGGTCCCAGAAAGGTCCCAGAAAGGTCCCAGAAAGGTCCCAGAAAGGTCCCAGAAAGGTCCCAGAAGGCTTATCCATGGGTCAAAAGTAAAGACCTGAAAAAACCACAGATTTTAGTCTATGTTTAGTATTAAGCATCCAATTATTGGGCTACGAAGTTGTGACCCTTACCCATACATATCATAGTAATGATTGGTAATGATTAGTGTTTATCATCATCAATATTTATTAATGACTATTACTATCTATTACTGTTATTATCATTACCATGATTGCTATGTTCCATGGGTTATTCTTGCTACTATCATGATCATGTGTTTGTTTGTTTGGTTGATCTGAATCTTCATTGTCTTCCGTTGAACGAGTTGCAAAAAATCGAAAAGAGTGCCTTGAAGCCACCGTGTCCATCATGAGTTGGGGATGGGTCAAAAACCTATGACCTTCCCGACGTGACGTGAAAACCAAGGGATTTTTCGGTTCTGGATAGCCGGCCATAAGGACTCCACAGAGTACTACAACCGCAAGGCACTGGAGTTTTGTTGGGACAGATGGACTGTGGAATCCTTGATTCGATGACGTATTTTTTTAGGAAACCAATGTGTAAGTGAGTTATTCTCCAAACCCATACGGAGAGTAGCAAATTTCAGCCTGTTCTTCATGTTCACTATTAATAAGTCTACATGTTCTAATGTTGATACTGTCAACCCCGGATTAATAAACCCCAAACGGCTGTTTAATTGGGAGGGTACCATAGAAAAGTATCAAATCATGACTATTGGAGGAGTACCCCCCTAATTTTCATAAACCATGGTTTATTAATCCGGGGTTGACATTATAGAACATTCCTATTTTTCAGGACTTGTGATTCCATTCGATATCTGCGATGATGATAGTCCGAAAATCCTGGATTTTTTTCGGGAACATTTACGTCGGACAACCCCCAAGAATGATGTTTTCAAACCAGGTCTTCCGGTAGATTTTCCCTTATAAATCAATTGTGGGCGTGATGTATGATGCTAAATCTATATATATATAGACATACATACGAACATTCACAGTGTTCTGGGAGAAGGTGAAACCATGGAAATTCCATAGAGGACTTTCCACAACTTCGGAGGTGTTGAATGCCACGGCCATTTGCCTCACCTTTGCGGTCTTCCTCTTTGGCCTGGTCGTGAGCCAGGCCATGGGTTTAGAATCCATTAGTATCTAATGGGGTTTTCCTGTAGATTTCCCCTAACCCAATCCATTGATATATATATATATGTAAAACATATGGGAAAAGCCCTGTTTTACACCATGATGTGACCATTTCGTTGTGGTTACATTTCTTTGTTTCATCAGTGAATCATGTTCAATCAATCCAATGACCTTTGGCACCAATGGCACCCTGGTTTCTTGGGTAACCCCGCTCAGGGCAATGAAGGTCATCCACCAGTGATCCATTCCCCTGATGAACGGGCAGGATTACTGTATTCTGAAGCCTCTTACAGATAGGGATCTCAGCCCCCCCAAAAAACACAACTTCTTCAACTTCACCTGTTTTTTTTGGGCCTTTGTGGTGGTGTTTGCATTTTTGGTGCATCTTGGCGGAAGGGACCATTTTCCCTGTGTCGAGGCTAGGAAGTTGGTGGAGAACAAGTGGTTGAACTGAGCGATGAACTGAAGTCACTTTGCAGCAAAATCCGCAAATTTATTCAAAGATGAAGACTACTGGGAGATGAGTGGAATGGGCAGAGAAAATCATGGAGGGCTTCGCGACATATTTTGGGGGGGGTTGCAGCTTGCTTGAAGCATGCAGGTGTTCGCAGTAGAACAGGTCCAAATGTCAAGGCCTGTTTCAGGTGTTATTGCTTTGGTCAAGGAACATGACCAATCCCATCAACAAGACAGATCTTCAGGGCAGTAATTCTTGCTGTTTCCCAAGTCAGACTCTATTTCAAGTAACCATGGTGGCTACATTGTCTCTATGCCCAGCCCTGAACAGTTACCCCTTGTCAGGGTTCGAGTTGCACACTTGCGGGGCGTTTTTCTGAGGCTAACCAATAGACTGATCAGGCGGCCAGGCTAGTGGTTTTTTTTCAGACCTGCACCTAGCAGAGAAAAGAGCGCTGGGAAAGGCATGTCAGCTGTGGTGAGAAGAGTAGAGTAGCCGAGTAGCCATCCATTCTGCCCTTAAATTTGGATCCGAGTCATGAACCACTAGGATTTTCGGATATGTTCGGTGCTTCTGGTGCTCAACAATGTAGTAAATAGAATCACTCCAGATGTGTTCATGGCCCGCAAGTCCCAATCAAGCTTGCCATCCGGTAGGTCCGTTCGGTTGTCATGCCACTGCCCTGCTTCTCGGGTTTGCAATGCCTGGTGTCCAAGCTCACGCTGTTCGGAACGGACCGAAGGGACCGAGCTGGCGCGGACGTCACTGGGAAGATGGAGCGCAGAGCCCAGTGGAACGAAGCACAGAAACTGGCACAAAGGATACTGCGCGAATGGATGCAAAAGCATCCAGGTGAGCCTGTCCCAGAGGAGGTGTTCCGGCACTGTCAGCAGGAAATCGAAAGTTCCATTTCCATTGACACCACTCAATCGCTTCAGTCCTTCGTACGCTATGCTCATGTGGATTTATTGAGGGTCGAGGGGCCACCACAGAAGATTCGATCTGAAGAGGAGTGGCAGAGCTTGTTTCCCCGCTATCCCACCTTGGAGAATGGTTTCATGCACTGCTTTGACTCCAGTGACTCTGAGGGTATGAGAGCAGCTTTGCAGAAGTATGGCTTTTGCGTGGTGAAAGTCCTGACCAAAGATGAATGCGAACAGAGCGTGCAAGCCATGTTTGAAGAGATCAATCACCTCCGCATCCAGAAGGGCTTGGAGGGTCCCCTGATCAATGTGGAAGATCACTCCACTTGGGAGGACAAGAACTGGCCTTCCAATTGTAAGTTCCTGGTGGATTATGTGGCCTTGCATCCCCAAGCCTTTGCAAATCGCTGCTCCAAGAAGATCTACGAAGCATTCTGCGGCATCTTCCAAGAGTCCCGGCTGCATGTTTCAGTGGACAAGTGGGGAGTAGCTCGAGGAGCCAAGGGGAAAGCCCGGTGGAGGATCGGATTGAGACCCCACTGGGACCTGAATCCCTGGCAGTGCCTCCGAGACTTTGAGAGTGGCAACCCAGGCATTCCAGGCCATCCAGGCTACCAGGGAATGGTGGCATTGAGGGACCAGGATTTGGAGACTGGTTGTCATCTCACCTTACCAGGCTGCACGCATTTCTTGAAGCAGTGGAGCCTGGAGCGCAAGTTGGAGAAGGTTTCCAAGACCATGAAATCCTTTCGCGCCTCACAGGAGGATCCTTTGCTGCGATATATGCAACCTGTACCCTTGCGACAAGGGGAGATGGTGATTTGGTCATGCGCACAACTACATGGCTCCAGCCATAACCATAGCAACAAGATGCGCTTGAGCCAGTACATCCGCATGTTCCCAGCCAAGGACTTAGATCAAAACCTGAGTGATGTGTGTCAATTTCCCCATAGGTTCCACCAAAATCTACTGCAGGGACCCCCAAGTTACGTTTGTTGGGTTTAATTGTACACCCATCTACTGTAGCTATAGATACATCATGATATATCCAGATATTATATAGAGCTATCCATTGTAAACCCCAGGTAAACCTAGTTATAAAATGTTATAAACCAACATTAAGATATTATGAATTGCCTCTCCTTCGACAGTTTTCCTTCCTAAGTCTGAAAAGCTTGCCGGAGGAGGCGGGCTGGAGCATCAACTACGACGAACGCGACACGTTCAGCTGCACTCGAGTCTTACCCAGGGTCATCCGAAAGGGCGAACTGCCACAAGAGGCCTTGGAAGGTCTGGATGAGCGCGGCCGATGTTTGTTGGGACTAGAACAGTGGCCCAAAACTGAGCAGTTTCTTCCAAAGCCGCTTGGTTGATATGGGTTATACATGGTTATACATGGTTTTACTATCTAATAGGATTGGGGAAATAACAATAACCACAATCCATGCGAACCAGTATAAAAGGACGACTGGAGGTTTTGAACACTGCTGACATGAGATTTGTCGGGGGAATGGGCGGGTAGAAGCCCAAGGACAAGCGATGCTGTCGTCAGATGTACAGTGTACAGAAGCTTCTTGCTGCCTGAAAATGTTTTAAAAAAACAGGTCAGAAACGAGCTGTACTTTTGAAGGTGTGCCCTGGAGGGAGCCCTTTGGTCAACATGATGTAGAAGCCATGGCCCAGTTGGAAAGTTCGATGTGGAAGCCATGTCCTACATGATGATTTCGGTGATCCATCTCGGCTCAAGCCGAAGTCACCCGAACTTACGCCGAGGCGCCGATGGGTGGAGCCCGGCTTGGGCACCTGGATGAACTACTGTGAGTAGCTGCAAGTTTGGTCATGGAAGTTAGGACCAAAATAGGACTAACATATTTCCGATGAGGGACATGGCCATGGCCAAACATCTACAGTAAGTACGTCATGATTTGTGTGCACATAATCATCTTCATGCAGCATGCAAACAGAGATTGCATTCTGCACGCAGGTTGCAGTAGTAGTCATGGCACGGGAAGCTCAGACATTTTTGAGCAGAAGCAGCAATTGTGGCGGGAAAAGCACTGGGTGCAGGTATGTATCGTTTAGTGCAGGAATTGCGCATTGCTTTCACGAAGAATGGGCCACTTGCAACATACCTCCTTTAAAAGATTGGCAGCCGCGGTTCATAAATCAGCGCCCTTCCATTCGTGCCATTTCTTTCTCAAGCCTCTCTTGTGAGAGGGGCAGCCTTTACGTCGATTTTTGGGAAACCTAATGAGAAGGCACAGATGTGCAGCGGTGATGTGCTGCTGCATGCTGTGAGTCAATTTGTAGTAGTTTTCCGGGGCAGAAAAAGTCAAGGGACTGGCAAACTTCTTCATTTGAAGACTTCAAGATACTTCGTTTGAGTGTCACAGTGGCTCCATAAGATCCATAAGTTTCGCGACTTTTGTTGGCCCCTTTTGTGTCCCTTCTGTTTTGACATGGCAGATGCTATGGCTGAAATCAGCGCCAGGTTCATTGCATATCCGGCCTGGCACCAATGCGATGTACGGCGCCTGGATCGAGGATTTTCTGCCAGCTTTGTCAACGTTTTGTGAGTTTTCCTATCAGTACCCCCCATGGTTCATGTGAGTTTTCCTCTCAGTTTCCATGTGAGTTTTCCGAAAAGAAGGGTACTGATAGTCAGTACCCCCCATGGTTTTGGATTGGCTTTTCCATGCGAGTTTCCCAACAACGAGCTGCCCAAAAAAGGGGAGCCCCTTTGCGACCTGAGGTTGGTATATCCTCATCTGGGCGCTAAGCTTTCCCGCTGAGGTGTGAAAAAAGCAAGCCCCAAGCGTTGAGAAAAGTAACATCCAATTCTGTAGTGGTAAAGTGGTAAATTCATTGATTCGCTACCGTTTTTTCTATCTTTTTGGGGGTAGGTCATCCTTTATTTATCCACTTCTTTCCTGTTCGGTGTGGCATGGGACATCGTGGTCAGGCGAAGAGTTATATCAGGACACTCGGCATGTGACATTTCGGAAGAGACGTTGGAATGGGTCGTTTAGATGTTTTTAGTAGATCTAAAAAACCGGAGTATTCTCGAAAAATCTTCAAAAAGCCCAGGACATTTTAGATAAATTCACAATGAGCCAGTTCCCAAGTACCCTCTGGTTATGTCAAAATAGCTATTGAAAATGACCATAGAAATAGTGGATTTTCCCATTGAAAATGGTGATTTTCCATAGTTATGTAAACGTTTACCAGAGGGTACTGATTCCTCAATACTTTCAGCATTTTTTAGCCAGTTCCAATAGGTTGAACTCATCCGATCCCAGTCTGTTTTCCAATCCTCGACATCCACCGTTGGAGATCGCAATGCCGTGAGGAGATCGCATGCCGTTGCACCTGGGCTGCAGGAGTTGAAAAGACCATGGGAAATGGGGAGTTCATTGGATATAAGATAAGATAAGATAACAAGCATACGTTGGGGGATACATATGATATATATAATTATATATAATTATATATAATTATATATATATGCACATAATCAACATGAAGGTATTTCCTATCAGGTGTGTCTGAAAATGGTGGATTTAACATGATTTTTCACATGACTTATATAACTATGCCACTTTTACAATAATGAAGCAGCAGATTTAGGGCTAGCCTATTTTCAGACAAGTTACCCGTTCATCCATGATCAGTCCTTACTCGCATCCTTGGTCAGGATGCTCAACCCACCCAAAATGCCATTTTGTTGGTTGATGCTTCTGGGTAGCCCATCTGGCCCTCTTTTCAGACACCCATATTTTTGAATATACTTGGTAGTTGTACCATAAAATACACCCGGTTCTATCATGAAAAAACCTTGGGTAAATCCACTGCCATCCCCATCGCCCGATTGGTGGATCATCGTCACTGAGATCGCCACAGATGGACGCATAGAAGTGTCACATTCGGATGACCCAAAGCCTTTCGCCTCGTTCGCGATGCCCGTGTACAAGAGCCTGGCCGGTTAAATTTGAGTGGAATAAAAAGCCGTTGGCAACGATTTTGGGTCTGAAAAATTGTGGGAAAAGCCCGAAATCCAGTATAGATATACCACAT